ACAGCATGACTTGATGAGCGGTGCGTAGCTCTGCGCCCAGGATCCAAACCTGTGAACCCTGGGCCACCGAAGCAGAACTCCCAAACTTAACTGTTATGCTACAGGGCTGGCCCAATAACTCATTCTATATTAAGAATATTAATTCACTCTGTTATATAGTATGCATATATTTTTTATTTCTCTTAAAAATGTATCTTTTAGCAAATGAAATTTAAAATTTTTTGTATGAATACATCTATGAAATCTTTTCCATTATGGCGTCTGAATTTCGTGTCATGCTTAGAAATAAGGCCTTTTCCCATGCTAGATTACACAAATAAAACTTTCTCAGATAACTTTATTTCAGTTTTAATCTTATTGATGCCCAGGCTTGGACACACTGTTTAAACAATCTATCTTGAAAACATTATGGACAGATCTCTCATTTCTTTGTCAATTAATTGTTACATAGGAAAACTGCCTAAGAATTATGACCCAAAAGTGACCCCAGATCCTGAAAGATGGCTGCCAATGCGAGAACGTTCTTACTACCGGGGAAGAAAGAAGGGGAAAAAGAAGGATCAGATTGGAAAAGGGACCCAGGGAGCAACTGCAGGAGCTTCGTCTGAGCTGTAAGTCACTGCTCCCCAGTTGAAGGCACTCAGCATAGGGCTGGTTCCTTCTGAGATTGAAATCAGGGTCAGTCTCATACTAATGACTCAGGGTCATTAGTGAGAATTTTTAAAAATACATTTTAACTGTGAGAAGTACAGTCACATATCTTTGGTAAATGTTTTGCAATATGCTTAGGTAGGGGACAGAAAATGTGGTGTTTCTGGTTTGATTATCTTGTCAATACTAAGATTATAGGATTGTATTATAAATATTAAGATTTTAAGACCTTCAAAAGGAAAATGAACACACTGAGTTGTTCAACTAACTAAATATCTGGAGAAACAAACAAATATAAGTAATGTGACTAGAAAGGAGTATTAAAAATGTTACTAAATAAGTTATTTCTACATGGTAGGATTATAGGTCATTTTAAAATTTGTTCTTTATTTTCCAAGCTTTCTAAAAGTTGGCATGTACCATATATTACTTTTTCTTTAATTATAAAGCAATAAAATTTTTATTCAAAAGAAAAATTGATGGGGAGTTGGGGAACCCACCTTAAAAGAGAGAATATGTGTGGGAGATTTTTAGGGGTAGACAGTGAAATCCATGTACATATAACGTTTTTATAGCCTTCTTCTTTGTTGAATATGTGAATGACCAACACTTTCCTGATCTGATGATTTCAGGGATGCCAGTAAAACTGTGAGCAGCCCACCCACCTCCCCAAGACCTGGCAGTGCAGCAACAGCATCTGCATCTACAAGTAATATCATACCCCCAAGACACCAGAAACCTGCAGGGGCTCCAGCAACAAAAAAGAAACAGCAACAGAAAAAGAAGAAAGGTGGAAAAGGTGGCTGGTGATTAGAATGTACTTGTTGCAGTCTGTTTTTAAACTAATCTCGTTGACATTAGGAACATGATACAGGTGACACAGCAAGAAGCACAGAGCTGCTCCCTTTCCCATCCCCACATTTTCATACAATTATTTTCTTGTGCATCAAACGGGAAAACATCTTCTGCAAGTTCTGCCCAGTCAGACTTGGCCTACACCACTTAGGTTTGCACAGATGATAAGGACTCAAAATAATTGGGCATTTACCCACCTTGATATCTGTTGCATCCTTTCTCTCTGTGTGCCGATCTGGTGGTTTTTTCAGTTTTACAAAGAAGGCATGTTATCCAAAGTTTCCTAGGATTTAAACAGAAACCACTTCTACTGTTCAAACTAGTGTCTGAAGATATTTGTTCCTATCAAGTCCCAGTTTAAATTATGTCTTAGGAGGCCTTAGGAGACTGAAAGTGGAATCTTCTGAGCATTCCAAATACCTGCTTAGAAATATCATGTGATAAAAAGGGACCTTATTACACTGGTGTTCTTCACTTCATTACATGAGTGGCCACTGGAAAACTGAAGTAAATGTCTTGATTAATTTTGACCATAAATTCTCTGTCATGTGATACTGAAATATGGGATAGTGTGTGTATGTGTGTGTGTATACATATATATAAATTAGGACTCCTTTGCACCCCTGTATTGTTTTCAGATTATGATAACATTATATTGATTTAGCACCGTTCAAGAACCCAAGGAAAATATATCAATGTTGTAAGAAGTTGACTCTTAGACCCAGTGTTCTGAGTTCAGATGGGTTTGGACTGTCTCAATCAGAAAGATTTAATGGCCACTATCAAGAGCATGAACATTGACTTCCTACTTAGAGACAAAATCAATACCAGAGTTCAGTAGCGGGCAGTATTAAAACTTAACTGTTTGGCCCAATTAAGATACTCAGATGGCTCCTCTTTCTAGTTAGGGGTACAGTCATGTATTATGCTTCTCAAAGTAATGAAGTATTACACAGTCAGTCTGTGGTGTCAGTGTTGCTCAGGTCTTTCCTTGCTTGCAAACCACTTTCCCATTGAACAGCTGTGAGACAGACACACTGGGATGCCCACCCTTGTTAGAATTTATTTTATAGGGCCCAAGAGAACATTAAATTTAGACTTATGAGTATTTCCTTGTGATCATATTACTCCATCCTTGTTAATAAAGTGCTGCTGTGTTTGACTCTGAACATCTACTGGAACTTCTTCAAAGAGTTTTTAAAAAGGCTTTCCTCCTTTACAAAAGTAAGAAATGCAGTGCTGCCTTTCTGTTTAGTGTAGTCAGAATCTCTGGTGGCATCTAAACAAGAGACCCTCTTATATATGGATGATTTAGTATGGCATAATACTTTTTGAGCTTTCAGAGAATAGTCTTTTGGTAAGAGTGACAGATACTTATTCTTTTGGAATATACACCCCATTACAGGAGTAATTATTAGTAAATTTGTTAGGATTCATTACATTTCTGTGGTGAAGGATAATCATTTTTTAGGTCCACTAAGCTACAGAATTTTGGTGAAAATTATCCATTATTGAAAATTTTGACCCAGGGCACAACAATGACATTTACAGTTCTCTATTTACTCATTGTAATTGCCATTCATTGTTGTTATTAGTCTTTACTAAGCAACTGAAACCTCAGTTTAAATAAGTTATAATTGTCAAATGAAGTGTAAACATCTACGTTAACTAATTACTTCTTCTTTTGGACAGGTCTTTAAACAATGACATATATACTTTGTATATATATGTGTGTGTGTACATGTATAGAAACCAGTACGGATACATCCAGTCACTGTGGCACATTTTAAAATAAAATATTCTAGCAGTGAATATGGATTAAGGTGTTTTGGGTGTTGGCATTTTATGGAGGACTTCCTGCTTAGTATAGCTAAGAAATTGTCCCCTGCCCCTCCTAGCAAGCCACAAAACTAATGTAATGGGATTGAGAGAACATAGTTTTAATTTTAAATTCACTGAAAATTCATCATTTGATATGTGTACATAAACAAATTGAGGAGTAAACATTTTTTAAGTTAGCAAGAAGAACAACATTTTCAAGACTACTTGTTACTGCTAATCTTAAAAACTTGCATCACTCAAGCCTTCTGGAACCTGCCATTCATTCATTGTTCCTTACAAGGCTATTTAAAATGTAGATCTGATGAAGGGAGTTAGTTTAGTGCATTAAGATTAGTTTGTTAGATTGTGAAATATACTAAAGAGTTGTAGGGGAGGAAGAAACTTTACCCTCTAGGTTCTTCTGGTTAGAATAAGAATTAAATTGACATGAGACAGAATAACAGGAGAAAATCAAACAAATTGAATAACATGTATACATGGGAAAACTGAGTAACTCACCAAAATGGTTGAAGCCACCACCCTAAATACATCTTCAGCTAAAGACAAAGGAGGATGTTGGGGGTAGTGGTTTGAGACTTCAAAGGGGAGGCAGGCAATTCACATGGAGATGGAAAAGCAAGTGTTTGGTAGACAAATGTTTGCCATACCTTGCAAAAACAGTGGGATATGGGGAGGACTTTGATCAAATAGGCCTTGCTAGATTCCTCCTTGTCTGTCACACCTGGTTTATTTTATACTACAGTTATCTATGGTGATAGCTCCTTCCTGAAAGAGGCCTTATATCTTAAATTCTTTTAGGCAGTTAGAGGGAAGGTCAGAGTTTCTTCCTGAGTCTTTTGTTCTTAAAGATAATCAAGCCAAAGAGACACATTTTGGGGTGGTGAATTCTGATCTCCCACAGAGTGCAATTTAACAAAGTAATAAGAACCATCCATATACTTCTCAACCAGTTCAAGAAACATGGGTACCTAATTTGCTACATATTAGATCTTTGGGGGTGACAAGACTAGTTGTGGTTTTAATACCTGGCATTACTAGTATCCATGATCCTGGCAAACTACTAATTTAATCTCCAGAGAACTTTCTTCAAGTGAAATGTTATAGGGATTTAAAATAAGGGAGCCGTTCATGTTCCTCTATTGCTTATCCTTAAGCATCCTGGATAGCAGCCTCTAGTCACTCCTAGTGACATTAACAGGGGATGGAGGGCGAGCAGATACTCAACTTCACTTTCCAGGCTTGTGATTACTATCTGGGGGAAGGCAGGGAATCCTTTGGGGACGCTCAGTGTTCTCCTGGCGCCTCAAGTGTTCTCCAGTTTGGAGACACCTGGGCTGCGCAGGCTCTGGGATGATGCGGGAGACGGTGAGACGCTAAGATCTAGGCATGGAAGGCCTTTCTGAGACACCCTGCCCGGCCTGAGGGAATCGCGCCATGGTGCGCCCTCCCGAGGAAGTGGCACCTGGGGACGCTTCTCCTGCACAGACGACCTGCCCCGCGGATCGTTCCCAATTCCCGAGGCTGGGCCTCCCAGATCCCTTTAGCTGGGCTCGACCCTTTCAGTAGCTCCCCAGCCCTCCCCTCTCCACTCTTCCTTCAGGCCCCAGGTTCGGTGAATCTGCTGCGCGCAGCTCCCCGCGAGCGAGCGCGAGATGCCCGGCGGCAGCCGGCGCGCCCTGGGGCTGGCCGCGGCTGCGGTGACCGCGGCTGCGGTCCTACGTCCGCGCGCGTGGACCTACGTCTCCGCCCTGCGCCCCGCGCGGGGGCCACAGCTGCCGGGACCCAGGGCCGCGGCTCCAGCGCGCGGGCGCGCGGGAGGAGGGGAGGAAAGAGGGCCGGTGGGGATGGAGAGAGGGAAAGTGAAGAAAGAGAAAGGAAAGGAGACGGAGAAAGAGAAAATTCGGGAAAAAGGAAAGGAGGGGAAAGAGAAAAGGAAGGAGGTGGAGGAGAAAATTAAGCAAAAAGAGAAGGAGCAAGAGAAAGGGAAGGAAGAGAAAAGAGGAAAGAGTAAAGAGGAAAAGAGGAAAGAGCGGGCGACAGAGAAAGAGAAGGAACAATTTAAGGGAAAAGAAGAGAAAGATAAGGACAACAACAGCGTCTTGACGAAGCCCCCGCTGGAGCCGCCGGTAAGAGACCGGTGCCTCGGACCCTGTCCCCAAGGCCATTGTCGGCGTTCAGGCGGGAGCGCCCGCTCTGTTACGTCGCAGGCCCCGACCCGCGCGGGAGGGAATCGGGTCTTGTTTTTGCGGGCTTTTTATCTGTGGATGCAAGGGGATGCGCCACGCTTCGAACGACCCATCGCTAGCCCCTTCTCCCCGGCCCCCTGCCCACCCTCACTCCTAACCCGGACCCTGCGTCCCAACCCTCGTCAGGTCTAGTGTTGAGGAAGAAGAGGTCTCAGCTGGTCTTCAGCGAACTGCGAGGAACTGCGCTTCTGGGGCCCCATCTCTGTCCAGCGCTCAGCACTGGCTCACAGACCGTCCACAACACAGAAATCAGCCCCGCACCCTCGCCACACACAGGCTCTCGATTCGAATCCTTTCTGTTGGATAAATTCTTTGTCAGAAGGCGCAGCGTTCCTGAATTTGTGCAGGATGTGTTTGGGGTCTGTCTGGACTTTTTTTGTGGGCTCTGTGATTACTGCTTCCATTGTTTTCAGATCACCAGGGCCCAGAAGATACGGTACAGACAGGCACTGTAGTGACAAAAGGCAAATAAATACCTATGATTCCACTCATATGAGGTACCTAGAGTAATCAAAATCATAGAGACAGAGAGTAGAAGGGTGGTTGCCAGGGGCTGGGAGAAGGGAGAATGGGGCCTTAGTGTTTAATGAGTAGAGTTTCAGTTTTACAAGATGAAAAGAGTTATGGAGATGGATGGTGGTGATGGTTACACAACATTATGAATGTATTTAATATCACTGATGTATTCTTAAAAATGGTTAAGATGGTAAATTTTTAAAAATTATTTTATTGAGGTCATAATGGTTTATAACATTGTGTAATTTCAGGTGTACATTATTATTTATCAGTTTCTATGTAGACTGCATCGTGCTCATCACCAATAGTCTAATTTTTATCCATCACCATATATATGTGCCCCTTTACCCCTTCCACACACACCCCCAACCCCCTTCTCCTCTGGTAACCACTAATCTGTTCTCTTTATCCGTGTGTTTGTTTATCTTCCACATATGAGTGAAATAAAAATGGTTGAGATGGTAAATGTTATGTGTATTTTACCACAATTAAAAAACAGGCAGGGAAAAGAAAGAAAGAAAAACCAGGCATTGTTTGGATTGGCTTAATGACCTCTGTGCTCCTGGAGTTCCTGGGCTCAGAGCTGCTTTCTGGTTCTAAACAATTTGAATTATTAATGGAGATTTGATCTCTGCTAGAACAGAGACTACCCAGATCCATATATAGTTAAAGGAATAATTTTTGACAAGGAACAGTGGTGTTCAGAATCACAGTCCATGTCTGCACACTTGGTTTACAATAATCCCAGCTTTCCTTAAGAGATGATAAACATGATGAAGCATGTATTTTAGACTAAAAAATAAGCATATGTAAAGCATCTGTGACTGCAGAACTTCTAGGCAGGATGGGCTTAGGGGCAGCAATGTGATTGGAAGGGGACTGGGCAACCGTTTTTACTCACAATATTTCATAGGATCTAAGATGCCATTATTTTAGGTACCACTAAGAAAGAAAAAAAATGTGCCAGACACAATATGACATACCATGGATTGTAAAATCTTCATGTCAGAGATGTTAAAATGTGAAAAAAAATGCATCTTGGAATTGATGAGATATGTTGGGATAGCCTGAGTGGGGCCATCGGTGGAGATGAGGGGGACACAATTCATGCCCTGCCGCCATTTCTTAGGGCCACCATTGCTTTAAACCATGCAATTTCAAACCATCCAATGAAGTCGCCTTTGTGCATCAGGTCCCTCTGTTTTACCATCACTCTCTCAGAATGACATTATAATATTTAGATGCAGATGAGAGGGAATGGGGAAGGTGGTGGGAATGGAGCTAGGAAACATCTATGGAAATACCATTCACTCTAAGAGCCATCAAGAATTAACTCCAAAAACATGGACTTTTTCAAATTCTGTTATTCACCAGACAGTCTTCATAAATCATGCTCTCTACACAAGTCTCTATAAGACCAGACCTTAAAACATCTTACTTTCACATAGATAGATCTTATAATAATAATAAGAAGAAGAAGAAGAGATGGGATAGACATTCCACTGCTTTTTAGGATCACTTGTTATCAGAAATCCAGTCTAACGTCAACATTTAGTGTTCAAGCAGAAATGTTTAAGATTAAGGTTATTTTTAAGCCAGTGCCATTGAAGACATTTACTAGTGTTTTTTGTGTGTGTGTGTGCATGAGGAACCTCTTTAGTAGGCTGTTTGGGAAACAGAATTGAATTCCTGTAAGCAGTCTGGCTGTATTGTTGCTCATTTATTACAGTTTACATTAAAGTTTGTACCCTAAAAGCCACCTTTCTGAGCTCTCTGAACTTTCTATTTCTGCCTTCCTACCCGCCTGTCCCTCAATCACTTGTCATAAAAATTTCTAAGGCTGGTATGTTGGTGGAATGCTTCTTTCTAAAGTTTATGTCTAGTACAACAGGTTTTAACATCAGGTTTTTAAATAAATGCTCATTTGTGATTGGAACTGGTTTAACAATTTCTATAATCTTAGCCTTTTCGTCTATGATTCTTTTTTTTTTTTTAATTTTTTGTTTATTGCAGTAACATTGGTTTATAACATTGTAAAAATTTCAGGTGTACATCTTTGTACTTCTA